ACACACACACACACACACACACACACATACATACACACACACCCCACACTTACACAAATGTTCAAAAATAAAAGAAGTGAAGAATCTCCCACACCCTCCAACTTACCATGACATTCTGCCCAAGCACCTGGGGCTGAATGGTCATGAACCAAACCCTCTGAAACCATGAGCACAACATGAATAAATCTTTCCTGTTTCCAGTTGGTTATGCTAGAGGTTGTGTCTCATTGTTGGTAAAGTAGCTAATCCACAGGCTGGTGAGCTAGCTCAGCAGGTAAAGGCACCTGCTATCAATACTGATGTCTTACATTTGATCCCCAGGACCCACAAGGCTGCCAAGGAACAACTCCTGCAAGTTGTCCTCTGACTTCTTCATGGACCATGACACTTGTGCAACCCCCAACATATGCACAATAAATAAATCAACTGTAATTAAAAATAGAATGACACCAGGCATCCTTAACTATTGGTTTCCATCATGTGTGCTCTATGACAGGGGCAGGTCTGGGCAATTCAACTGTGAACACATCAAAGATCCCACCGTGGTGATCTTTGTCTTCGTAGACAACAAATGAAGAACAGCCTCACTTACGTGCACAGAATGGACTGGTCTTCACGATCTGCAAAAAAAGAGAGAAAACAGTGTGAATTAGATAGAGTCCTGAAACTAAGGGTCTGGACTTGGCTGAAGCTCCCACATGCAGGCCACACTTGAGGTGGCCAGGGACCAGCGGCACTGGATGCCCAGGACACAGGGGCCAAAGTGAATCCATGAGGACAACCACAGTCCCTGAGGTGGCCCTTGAAAGAAGCTTGAGCCTGATGCACCTATGAGGCCACAGACCCCCCAGATGTATAAGCTCTGTGGGGCCCAGAGCCTCCCCTGCCCTGATTAGGTTATAGGCTTAGTTCAGGCTGACTAAGTACCCTTGCGGCCATAGGTCTCTTTGCTCTGAGGCCTGGGGAAAGTGTTTTAGCTTGCTGTGTCAGCTACCTCAGCTGGGACATGTTCTGGTAGAGAGCTCTGAGTTGTAAATACCAGCACTTATCTCTCTCCTTGTGGGGTGTGAGGCAATTCAGGTTCCTGACATCCTAGAAAGCTATGCTAGCTAGTTTTATGTCAACTTGACACATGCTAAAGTCATCTGAAAGGAGGGAAGATCAACTGAGGAAATGCCTTCATTAATCCAACTGTAGGGCATTTTCTTAATTAGTGATTGAGGTGGGAGAGCCCAGCCCATAGTGGGTGGTACCATCCCTGGCCCTGGATTCTATTGGAAAGAAGGCTGAGTAAGATACGAGGCACAAGCCAGTAAACAGCTTCCTTCCATGGCCTCTGCATCAGTTCCTTCCTCCAGGGTCCTGCCCTGATTTCCTTCAGTGATGTGGAAGTGTAAACAAATACTTTCCTCCCCACATTGTTTTGGTCATGATGTTTCATCACAGCATTAGCAGCCCTAATAAGACAGAAGCTTGGGGCAGGTTCTTCTGTGCCCAGGGAAGGGTTAAAACTGCACCCAGAGCTGGGCTGACTGATCATCTAACTTAGAGTCCCCACTTGGTTAGGACTAGGGTAGTACAGAGGCCGCCTTTGCTTCCCTCTGGGCCCTTGATTTCTGTCCTTTTGTCTCCTCCCACCCATGCCAGTGTTCACGTGTGTCTAAAAGCTTTTACATAGGCTCTGCTCTCTGGAAGGTGACATGTCAGTGCCCAGTGTTTAAGGCCAGAGACACCCCATCCTCTGACACAGAGGACATCATGAGATCAAAAATCAAGTAGGCATCGTTGACAGCTTCTACTCACAAAGTGTCCCAGAAGGCCAGCCAAGGCATGGATGTCCCTACCTATGAGGGACATGGGAACAGCAAACAACACTCTAACCAGCAGCCAAGAGAAGAGACACCAGAGTGCCTCACCTGATGGGCAATGCTAGAGGCAGCGTCTCTCACATCTATTCCTTGCACTGTGGGCCTCAGCCTTACTTTACCCGACAACACCTGCTCTTCAGGACGCTGTACCTCCAATTCTAGCAAGATGACTGAGTACTGTTTTAAATGGATCAGAGGATAGATGGACAGACAGATGGACAGATCAAAGGACAGATGGGAGGATGGATAGATAGATAATGGGAACAGGAAATCAGGAATTCAAGCCATCCTTAGCTACACAGTGAGTACCAGGCCAGGCAGGGCTACATAGTGAGAAATATCTTAGAAAAGAAAAGAGGGAAGAAGAGAGGGAGGGAAGGAGAGAGAGAGAGAGAAAAGAAAGATAGGGAGGAAAAGGAAAGGGAAGGGAAGGGAAGGGAAGGAAGGAAGGAAGGAAGGAAGGAAGGAAGGAAGGAGAAAGAAACCCAATAAACACTGACTGGGGTGAGTACTGGAGGAACCAGTGCCCTGTGACTAGAACCCAGAAAGCAAGAATGTCTCTGTAGCCCGATAACTTGACAGGGTCTCAGGTAGCCCAGGTTATCATCAATTTCACTATGCAGCCTAGGATGACTGAATGTCTGGTCCATTGTCTCTACCTCCTCAATTATGTAATTCCAGGTCTCCAGCACTCACCATTTATGTATCACTGGGTATGGGGGCCTCGTGTACCTTAGGCAGGAACTTTGCTCTCTGAGCTGTGTCCCCAGCCAGCCCTGACCTCCATTATTTTAAGGAAGGACTCGAACACTGGCAGACCATGGTTCCTCTTTTTCCATCTAACCTGGGGAGGGAGCCAGACTTTCTCAGCAACCTGGCAAGAGCTACTCCATGAGCAGGAGAGATTTATAGGGTCAGAGACTCCTAGGACTCCTGGGAGGAGGGGCAGGCTTCGTGCTTCGAGCCACTGGCAGCTCTCTAGCCCAGGATGTTCCCACAGGAAACACAAGCGTGGGAAGCACAGCTCTGGGCAAAAGAAGTGCCCCTTTGGGTCAACCGTTGAACTGACCCCGGGGAGCTTGCCTGAACTTTCCATGGTTGGGGCTTTTCGTTTCCTCCCTGAGCCCGGTCTTTGAGAGAATCAGGGAGTTGATGGTGAGATAGCTCAGTGTGTAAAGGTGCCTCTGGCCAAAACCGAAGGAAAGAAATGACTCCTACACATTGTCCTTTGACCCCCACACATGTGCACACATGCCTCTGCATACACACACAAAATCAACAAATGTAATTCATCAATTTTTAGAAGGGAGAACAAGGCCTTCTACCCTTCCACACACCCTTGTCCACTCAGTCCTGGTTTTCATGGCTGTGAAATTCACAGGACATGAGCCAGCTCAAAACAAGTAACTTTTGGGATACAACACCACATGAGTGCCACATCTATCTAGGTCCAGAACACTCTGTCTCTACCAAATAAAAGCTTATACCCGTCAGGCCATCACCATGCATCAGCCATTCCCACTCACCCTTGGCAACCCACATGTTCAGTTTGCATCTGTGTTCACATGTCCACCCGCTCTGGGTACTTCACACAGGTAGAAACATAGAGTACCTCCTTTCATGCCTGGCTTCTTACATGTTTGGGAAAGCTATCAGATCTGTACTATACATTACTACTTTATCTGTTCACAGCCAAGTAATACTCCATTGCATAACAGACCACATTTTATTCATCCATGGATAGAAATCTGGGTTGTTTCTACCTTTGGGCTACTGTGAATAGTACTGCTGTAGACTTTCACATGCAAGATTTTATTTGAGTACTTGTTTCCAGTTTTTGAAATATTACCTGAGAGTCAGCACCTCCATGATACAATCTCTGCCTCCACACCTCTCTGTGGCTCGGACAGGGTTCTATCTACTGTCCACCTCACCTGCGGGGCTTTCCCTGGACAGTGATCCAAGTTTCACACTGTGCATCTGTAGAGGGGTTGTTGATTTGTGTGCTCATGAAAACAACTGGCCCGCACAATGAGAAGAAGCATCTTGAGCCAGAGGTATCTTTTCCTAACTCTGCAAAGGTTTCATGTTCTCTCTGGATCCCTGTGACCAAAGATTCTCTCTATTGTAGCAACTAAGTCCCCATGATCATATTTAACCTGTTGTCTTTTCAGTATATTTTGGGAAAACATATATGACATATGGTATTGTTCTTGTTTTCTTTTCCAAGTTGGTAAAAAAAAATGAAAATAAACAAAGGACTGCTTAGCATTATATCCACAGTCACCTCAAAGAGGAAGGAAAGAAAATATCCATCATCTGATGAATGGATTTAAAATTGTGGTATGTCCATTCAATAGGATATTAGTCAGCCATGAAAAGGAAAAGTGCTGATACCTGCTACAACAGTTATGACTCTTGAAAAGACTATACCAAGTAAGAAAAGCTGGTCCCAGAAGGTGACTAATCAAAGGTTTCCATTGACCTTACTTGTCCATAATAGGCAAACTTGACTGCTTGCCTGGGGCTGAGTGAGAATGTGGAGCAACCTCAATGAGTACAAGATTTGGGGAGGGAGGGATAACAAATTTTAATTAAGTTACTTTGACAGCTCTATATCCTGTAAACAACTCACTAATGACCTGAATATTTATTTATCTATTTTGATTTTTCAAGACAGGGTTTCTCTGTGTGTGTTCCTGGCTTTCTTGGAACTTGCTCCATAGACCAAGCTGGCCTCAAACACACATAGATCCACCTGCCTCTGCCTCTGCCTCTGCCTCTGCCTCTGCCCCTGCCTCTGCCTCTGCCTCTGCCCCTGCCTCTGCCTCTGCCTCTGCCCCTGCCTCTGCCTCTGCCTCTGCCTCTGCCTCTGCCTCTGCCTCTGGAGTACTGAGATTAAAGGTGTGCACCACCACTGCCTGGTATGACTTGCATATTTAAAATTGATTTATTTATACTAGATAGTTCTAAGCTTTTAAAAAATACAATTTTGTACTCCCTCCTTTTCTGTTTGTTGTTTTTGAGATAGTTATGTAGCCCAAGCTGACTTCAAACTCACAACCTTCCTGCTTTTACTTCCGGGAGCTGGGATTTCAGGCGCTGCCGCCACACTTGGCTTATACCACTATGTCTAAGCTATGCTGTACACCAGGCCCTGGAAACACAAGCCAACAAGAGCCACTGTTTCTTGATCTACATAGCTAATGGAGGAGTATGGGAGTTGTGGTGGTTTGAATGAAAATGGCTCCCATAGGCTCATATATTTGAATGTTTAGTTCCTACTTAGTAGAACTATTTGGGAAGGATTAGGAGGTGTGGCCTTTTTGAGTGAGTGTGGCCTGATTGGAGGTGGTGTAGTCTTATCTTGTATCTGGATGGGGAGGGATCTGAGGTTTCTAAAGTCCATGCCAGGGCGAGTGTCTCTCTCTGCCTGCAGATCAGGATGTAAAGCTCTCAGCACCAGGCCTGTCTGCTTCCCAACATGATGATTATGGACTAACCCTCTGAAACTGTAAGCAAGGCCCAAGTCCAATGATTTGTTTTTTTATAAGAGTTGGTACAGTCTGAACACTGACTAAGACAGGAGTCAAATGAGCAAAGAAATGTCTGATGGCTATAGCCACACTTATAACCAGGACATGCAGCAGTGCTCAGATCCCAGGATGCCTCTGTGGCAGCCTTCCAGGCCGTGTTTGTAACTGAACTATGTCAGAGATGTGTAGGAGTGCAGAAGGTGTGTGTGTGTGTGT